TGTTATTTCAGAGGTTCCTTAGTGTTATTCCAGAGTGAGATTTTGCCATAATGTGATGCTTTTAGCAATTTTTAATTACTTTTGTGCCCTGTCCTCCATTTATGTACTAGTTTTGAGACAAACTTTTTAAAAATCCAATACTTCCTTTGATACTGGTCTAAACGTTTGGCTGGATGAAAAAAAGTGTTGATTGATTTCCATCTATTTGAAGGAGCTGCCATTCCATCTGATTAAGATAAAGGACACCAGACGGCTCCGAGAGTTCCTTTGCAACTGGGAAGCTTTTGATTTTCTCTACGAAGAAAGCTTCAGCAAGAAACTCATGAAATACTGGCATGAGGTATGTCAGCTGTAAATAGTCTGTAAATAGCTTGCCATCTTGGATTGAAAGTGAGGTAAAAATTTACATTTTGGAAACCTGAGGGTAAAAATAAAACTTCATGCCAGTTTTCATAAGGCATAATTTGCTATGTCTGAATGTTTTGAGTCACATTAAAAAAAATACCAGTGAGGTTTGGAAATTAAAATAGTCTGGCACCGCTCCATTTAACAGACCACATTGAATATGATAGGTTCAGGGAACAAGATTAAACATGGCTTCCCCGTGTACAAGGTCTATTGACTATCAGCAGATTTTGGGGTTACTTTTGACCCATTTCCTGCCGTTTGCACTTGGTTGTTTAAATCTGAAGAATGGCTAAATGACACGTTGTTAATCATCAGGATTTTTAGTCGTTCCTTCACTCTAAAATTGCCTTGCTTATTTAAACCATAAACATTGTGAGCTGTGAAGTAATCAAGATTGTGGTTAAGGAGTGTATTGTTGCACAGGGTTGTTATTAAGTAGAAATGAAGATCAGTGAGACCATGTGTTTAACGCCTTGGAAATGAAAATTCTACAGGCACCATCAGAATACAAGACGAGCAATGTTCACACCTAAATATGTACCTGTTGGAGGTGAATTACTAAGCTGGTTCATTGTGTTCCAGGACACTGCAAAGGATCGGATTAGGCATAATTTTACTTTTTGTTGTCGTAATCTCCATGATTTTGTAGATTTGTCTTAGCTTTCTCTCTGTTTTGTTTGTCCAGGGTTTTGGGGAAGACTGGCAGAGGCTGATGTTGCATGGTTATGAAGAAGCCCTGCGCAATCTTCAGAATGATCCGACCATCAGCAGGGATGTGTTGTCAAGGAGACACGAGGAGATCACTCGATTAATGTGAGTCAAATCACCAAGAGTAAACATGATTGGATTAAACAAACCAAATTAATTCAAACAAGAGTTGAACTTCTAGCCAGCAGCATATTGCAGTACCTTTTGTGATACTGGCTTCAAACTTGCCAGCTGACTCTCAGGCTCAGTAGTGCATTAGTGAAAATGTTTCCACTTGTCAGCTGGATATCGTGAGTTTAAGTCCTATTCCAGCAGGCCTTTGATAATGTTCCAGTTTTTCTATTTCTCAGAATCTCTGTGAAAGCACTGATGTTTCACTGCTTATGAAATCATAAACCCTGTCCTTGGTTGTTCACTTGATGGAGGATTGAGGACTATTAAGAGTTAATGAAGAACAAAACCTCCATGGTCAGAATTCACAACTTCTTATGCAATGTTCCTTCAACATCAAAGACATTAATTACAAAATGACAGAAATTTGCCCTGATTTTTGTTTTTTGGAAACTCAGTAGAACCAAAACAATTGTCTGTTTTGGCAGGGTCCATGCTGGGGCACATCAAGACTCCTTCAAATTCCTAAATACTTGCATCGCCATGGAGACAGAGCTGGGTTCACGACCAGAACGGATGGTAGAGCTCTATGATCTAGCAGCAGATATCTATGATGATGTAAATGACTTTATTTATAAGTTGACTGTTAACTCTAATGGGCTGATGCTGTTTACATCACAATCCTGAAATTGTTCGTTAAAATATTGGTAGAGATAAGATGTTGCGTTAACCCTGTGTTGACATGAAGATTTGATTCAGTGGCATTTACAGATAGAACTTTGAAAACTGGAAATTGCCTGGCTGTCTTTGCCTCACAGGATTCTTCAGGCCAATGTGCTTTGCAGACATTGGAATTTATGAAAAGAACTTCCTTTTTGTAAAAGAATGAAGCACTAGGATGAGAAACTGATTTTTGTGTCAACGAACTGCTGTTAGTTCGTCGACTAGCGAAACATTTTATTCAAATCTGTTGCATTTTTTATAATCTCTGGGGCAGAAATTGAAGTTGTACCAGTGGATAGAGAGATGGCAGATCATTGAGCTGCGTCACTTGATCGACTATGCCAAGAAATCAATCGCCATCCGCGAGACAATGCCAGGAAACCTCAATAAAGTAAGACCACGCGTGAACAATTGTGTAGAAGCCAGTTCTAAGGTAACATCTTTCCTTGCACATCACAAGGTTCCTTTTGATAATTTGAGGCATGGGTACATTTTGACTAGTTTTGAGCACCCTGTTGGCCAAGAGAATCCGAGAATCTGCATAAAACAGTCCTGAAGCACCTTCCATGCAGAGAAGGGGTCATATAATTAACTCTTTGCTTTGGCCAGGTGTAGGGGCTCCTCACTCAGCCTATTGCCAGTCTCTCACTGCAGCGTTGGTCTTTGCAGGAAGGCAGAAATCTCTGACTGCGGTCAAACGTTTTCTCAGAAAATCTTTTGTTCACTTTTTAGACATGACCTAGACTGTTCAACATGTAGGGCATAGAGGTGTTGGCAAATCCAATGCTTCTGTGTCATGGGGGAGGTAAAATGGTCAAGAACTATCCCCACCAATAAAAAGACTTCCATTTTTTTCCCATGGGGGGTGTATATTATGAGTGCAGGGCAATTTCAAAGTTAACGAAACTTGTAAGCCTTCAATCTCTGAGGGAGTAGGCCGCGGATGTTCATTGCCAATCAGTATCAAGCACTTTGACCTGTGACATTTAACCTTGCATTGTCCTGGCACTCAGTTCAAGCTGGGCAGGACTCTCACCCAGCTAGCCTTCAACCTGGAGGCGTGGATGGAAACGGGGGCAGACAACAATCTCTCAGGAGAGGAGGCACTGGAGGAAGGGACGATTCACATTGAGCGTGCCATCCAAATCTTCAAAGATGTAAGATTTCACGTTTCTTTTGCAATGGAATAAACTTAGCACCAATTTGTGACCTCTGTGAAACCAAGCCGGCGGTCAACAGGGCCACTCCAAAAGAATCCTGGACAATGTAAATCTGTAGGAACCCTCAGCATTTTCCACCAGTACAGTGTTTCGTTTTCGTCAGGATGCCAGACTGAGTGAACAAAGACCTCGGGTTGCTCTTTATAAAACAAATCATAACTCAACGATGATTCTGGTGACTTGTGACTCATTTTCAAGGAGTTGGCCACATATGTCTTCTAACATTTATTTACGTATTTCTAGGCAGACAAATACTATCAGCATAACCATACAATTAAAAGACTGCAGACAGATAGATAGATTGTCATAAGGGACATACCTGAGCATTGCCTTTAGATGAAATGAATTACTGTGTAAAAGCCTGTGTCTCTCACTGGTTTCAATCACAGGAGAATATGACAGAAGGCAATGTCAATAGGTACCATTGAGAGGATCAGAGAGATAATTGGATTAGCATTGGTTATCCCAGATGGGGGTTATGTATGTAAGACGGTACCTCTGATGGCAGGGTCGTGGTTATTTTTTACATATACATGCAGTTAAGGTACATGTGCATAGGCTATTTATTGTACGGCCAAAAATTAATGCCAGAATTTTTCCCATCAGCTCCTGTGAAACATAGCATTTGTTCTCTATCAAGCTGGGCTTGATTTCTCTGTGCAAAGCTCAATTCCTTCCATACTTTGAGATGCTCTCTAGTGAACCTTATATTGTGATCTTTTGTAATATCTGAAAGCTGGGCAACGATGGATACTTAGCAGATGCCACCATGACCAAAGGAATCCTTCTGCCAAGGGGAAGTGAGAAACAGTTGGAAGTAAGTGGATGGAGAGGGCGGGGTCGTAACAGTAGGCGTCCATTGTGAATTTGTTTTCACATTGCGTGGATTCTGAACAAGAACAAGAACCCTTGTCTACAAATAACACCGTGCATTAATTTTTCTCCCACCGCTTTGCTTTTATCCTTTGGCCTAATAGAGTGTAACTTTCGATTGAATGTGTACAAATCTGAGGCATCTTTGGATGTTGCTGGGCCTCGGAGAACCAACGCAAGTGTGCTACATGGCATACTTAATGCATGTGCATTTTTACTGTATAACGCAAGTTAAAATTTGCATCAAAACATGTGAGAGCCCTTTTGAAGCGGTGCTTGTGTTACGCAGCTTGGATTTTGCCCAGCAAGAGCTTTCAGTGAGTTGAAAATACAGCCTTTATGCTGTGAGTTGACCAGTTGCACCCTGCTCGGTGAATGGGTCACCTTGCATTTGTTCTTGCGATCATCCAGGTGTGTAGGGAAGCCTTAGACATGTGCCTTCAGATATACGGCGAGAACAGCGTGCTCAGCTCTCGTATGTTCCTCAACATCGGCATCTTCTACGAGGACAACAGACAATACCGGACGGCGTGCGAATGGTTCATACGCTGGCACAAATGCACCGAGGAGGTAATGTTGTATAATACCTGTCTTGTTTACAGGAGGGATGTGTAAGCATAACCTCCCTGTATTTTTGGCCATGTTGTACCCACCTTATGCTCACATGTACCAAGGAGGTAATGTTAACCTGTGCGTTTCTCGTTAACAGGAGGTGCATGTAGACTTCTTGCCAATGTATTTTTTTTTTTTCCCCCTCTTCATGCATATAATCTTGTACCCTGAGATTTAATTTTTGTGAAAAAGTCAAGTCGATTTGAGTCAAGTACGTAGTTCATGTCAATTCAAGTCACAAATATTTGGGCACAATATAATAACCACAGAAGTCATTTTTTTCAACATTTTGCAATCTACCTTTTGGTTTCCACATGGGGTCACACCACATCTTACTCTTGATAACATGACATGACCATAATAAACGGTACTGTAATTCATTTCTAAAAATCTTGTTTTCACTCGAAACAGTTTGCTTTTAATATAGGGACTCAAGTCATAATAAAATTCACTCGAATCAAGCCTTTTGAAGAGGGATTCAGGTCAAGTCAAGCCATTTGCTGGTGGGGATTCGAGTCAAGTCATTTACCTATTGGGACTTAGACGGAGTCACCCAAAATTATTACTTGGGTCAGACATGAGTCGTGTCACGATCTCTAGGGATTACTACTTATTTACATTACTACTCTGGAATTTGCATGAATAGCATTTGGAGTGTCTCTCGGTTAGGTGTACAAGGTTTCTCGTCTTCCGTCCTTGGACTGTCTGCTTTTCAGGTGTTCGGCTACCACCATCCCAAGACAGAACGGGCCAGGAAGACGCTGGAGCGGCCGCGGTACTTGCGCATCAGACAGCAAATTGAGGAAGAGCAACGGCAAGCCCAAGCCGAAAACCAGGACAATGAAGTGGAGGATGTGATGAACAGAATGGAAAATGCCGAGCTAACTTGATCCGGTTTAGATCTGGACTCCATCAGTTGGACCGTGACTCATCACCCAGCTTGACCCCTGTTGATTTTGGCTGATTTCTCCAGTACACGTTGCACGGGACTTTGCAAGTTCAAAAGCTAATTGATTTTCATCAAATCTACATTGACCCAGTTTGAATTGGACCAATCCAGTTCAAAACTTGATTCATGGAGTTTCAGCTGACTCGACCCAGTTTTATCCAGATTTCTCCAGACTTCACCTTGATAAAAAAAATGCTCCAGTATGAAGTTGAGTGACTCCTTCAGCTTGGCTGATCCTCTTGTAAGTGTATTTAGTTTGAGCTGGGTGGATCTGCTTTGAACTTGACTGATTAGGTTTGAACCGGAATGTTCCTGTTTAAACAGTGCCGGAGGAAGCACTGTATTATTTTTACAAGTCATTCTTGTGCAAACCAACAGGTTTTGATTATGATGTGGTTTTCACTGAGCTTGCCAGACTTAAGCATTTGTAAATGGGTTTCCATAAGGTCGGGGCACAATTTGTGACGGTGTCCATTGTTACATGGGTTCCGTAAAAGTAAACAGCTATTTCCCTGCATGTAGATTTCAAATTATACATCTTGCAAGGCTGAATACAGAGGTGTATGTTATTTTT